AATATTTATAAATCAAGTTTATGAAAAATGACAGTTGTATATGGCATGTATGCAAGTTGCATTAGAATAATTAATATTGGTGCATTATTTTCAGTTTTCGGTTAAGAATATGAATGATTGGACGGAACTTCACCAGATTACTTCCTACATTTTTTTGGTTATCACAAGCAACCTCTCTTCCCTCAATTTGTCTGCTAATAAAGGAAGGACAAATATTAAACAAAGTTTCAACAATAAGGCAGATTGGCATTGTTAGGCTGGAACAAACCCCAAATGACTAAGAAATAAAAAATAATTGAGCACAATTGATTTCAAACGATAATTTTTTTATATGACATTCTATAGTATCATCAATCAAGCACACATGCTAATATTACATAAACACTTGAACATACGTGGGTCTATAACGTCGACGATTAACATAAATTATTTATCAATTGATAGTTTTCTTTTTAAAAAAATCATTTTGACACAAAAGAAAATATTAAAAATTAGAACCCGTCGAGTGACCTCAATGGTTAAATAGAGTGTTATTTTTTCTTGAGGTCTAAAGTTCAAGCAGATGCGTTTGCAATGTGTGTATTGTTAATAATTAAGAAATATTTTGAAAAAATACGACATTGTAATCACCATAAATGATTTAAAAAACAATAAATGATGAAAACTAAAATTTTTAAAAATATATATATATAACAAAATATCAAATTAACGGTTTTTATTCAAAAATGAGAATTTAAAAAAAAAATCAATTTCCTATGGATGTTATTCTTCTATGAGGTCTTGAGTTCTTGAACTACTTGATATTAATGAAACCATATATTTTCAATGTTTGAAAGTTTGATCGTATCAAGCAGATAACAGTGTTTTCAGGCAAAAGAAAAAGATAATAACGTGACCTTCTCATATCTTTTAGACGCTTATCGATTCATGGAATACTTAACAACAACATCAATTTCCCTATCAACATAAGCACGTAAGGTCCGAGAGTTGTCATATTATTATTTTTATATATAAGTTTCGATTGTATGCAATCTACCATTTTTTTTTTTGGATTAGGATATTTTTTCTATAAAAGGTAAATCACAAGTAAAAATAATTGTTCATTCACGGGTAGTGTGGGAGTGGGTCAACCAATTTTGGTTAGGAACGTCCTTTGCATTAATTGATCCAGCTAACACCTTTATAAGTCAAACCACATTCAACGGTGTCGTTTCGTGATCCAACTTCTTCTTCATCTGCATGGTCGGAGGCCGAACATGCATTACTTTCCCAATTTTCTAAACATTAAAAAAAAGGAAAAAATATCAGTCGCTATACACTTGATAATTTATATTTTAAAACTATAACTGTTATAAGTTAAGAAAAGTTAAATATTAAAAATATTGAATACTTATTTTTTTAATTGAGCGATTACGAAATATTGTCTGTTTTCATTTTAAAAAAAAAACAATTAAAATTTGTATATTTTTTATAAAAATAAACATTTTGCTAAAATAGGAACTATATGAATGATTGCGCAAATTGTAGTTTATTAATGTAAAATGCAACCAGAGTTTTGAGGGTGAGTATCTTCCACGTTGCTTGTTAACTGCCTTAGATTTCTCAACTTCTCTCCCATATCTTAGTTTAATTAATTAGGCTCAACAACATATACCAAACAGAGGTGCGTGATCTGGACAAGATAGTAACTTGGCATGCTCTATTTAGTTATAAAGATGCAAATTATAATGCATGCACCGTCTCGCATTGTACATAAGCTATTCTTCTTTTAATCATGGATTTTCATATGCTTTCGATTTTTCTTAAAGTTGGGGAAAACGGTGCCGGATCTATTCTTTATTTCCGTCCTTGTTTTTGGGAAAACATGATTATTTTAAAAACGAATTTTCAAATAATAAAAAAAAATGACATGTCCTCTGTCCCCACGACAAAAGCCCAGCCACTCACGTGCGACCTTTCCCCCTCCAAACTAGGATAAATCAAATCAAGTTCATAAATAAGTAGGGACGTCACTAGAACCGTCCGGATTAACTACATATATAACAAGCGCAGTAATATATTAATAAATCTGTCTATGTTGTTATTTGAGGTTTGATGCACTTAAGTTTCTTTTAATGTTGGGAAAATTAAATCGATGAGTAAAATCATTCGGGTCATTTGATTCATTTAATCGACTAAATTCAAATTATGGATCTGAAAATAATTAGATGAAAGATTAAACCGTTCATATAGTTTATGCATACTTTACTTGTGTTGATCTGATTTTAACAATCATAATTTTATAGTCTCGTTTTGTTATTTGAAATAAATAATAATATTATATTGATTCCTAAGTTATATAACGAATCTTCCATATGCATAATGTCTAAAGATTTTACAAGAAAACCGAAATCATCGTTTTAAAAAATCTTCAAATCACTTCACTAGAAATATATAGCAACCCAAGCATATAATATAAATAATTACTGGCACCCAAAAAAAAATGTAAAGTGCCTAAATCTAGAAAACAAATCATTTCATAGTGAATCATAACGTGCACTCTACTTTCTTGACATACATGAAAGCTAATTGGGATATTATTATTTTTCATTTTTATATGTAAAAATTAAATCATTTTAATATAAGAAAATAGATAAATTAATCAAAAAAATAGAGAAAATGCCAAAGAAATGTGTATTAATTTGAAGTATGTATTTCTAAAGTTTAATCTTTTACACTATCATTTTTTAACTCTACAAAATAATGAATTGAAAAATATATTTTCTTTAGTTTTTTTTCTTCATTTCTATTAAGCACATTCAATTTTCTATTTCTTATCTTTAATTTCATTCTTCGAATTTTTGTCGTGTTAGATTAGACTCGAATTTTCTACATGATTGTTTTCTTTTTAATTTTTTTTGAATTCATTTTATTATGACTAAGGATGTGTGAGTTGAGTAGGGTCGATTTTTTTTTTCTTGGCTCTAACCTAAAAATTAAATGTATCCACTCGTCTCTACTTATAAAGATTTCAAGCTTTGAGTTAATATTCGAGTATTGACCCGAATTTAAGATAAATTAATTTGTAAGCTTGATTAAATTTGATAGCCGAAAAATGAACTTGATCGATAGAGAATTAAACCCAATTGACATTGAAAAGGGAAACTTTTTATTCGAGATTGAATGAGGAAAGACTAAAAGATTAATTATAACATTTACGAAAAAAAATGTTGAAATTCATTTATTTTTCTATTATTTTTTCATTAGTATGTGGTGATTATAATGTCGTATTTATTCGAAAGATTGTTAATCATTTGACAATTAATGCCGAGATCTTTAAGAATAACAATCATTCCTTTAACCATTGAGGTAGTTTGGTTCGTGCACTTTCCTGTGTGGAAGAGGATAAAAAGTTGAACATTCAGCTAGCTTATCCTTCCCCTTCATTCATCTCTTATCTCTGTCTACCTCCCCCATAAGCTTTCCAAGCAGAACTATGACTTCTAAATCCAATAGGGGCTCGTTTCTATCATCTTAATTAACCATTTATGATTGTAGAGGTAAGATTAACTCCTAAAATCTCAAGAGCTTGAAAATAAGCTCATCACCTTCACAGGAGGCGATGTGAAATTATATAGGGTTTTTGAGAGGGTTCAGACCATGGAGCAATCCTAGGCTTCATTCACAGTGATCTTGCATTTGTGTTAATGTTTTTCTTAATCATGTGTTTGAATAGAAATTTCTTTTGGTGATTGTTGGACAATAAAAGGAGGAGAGTCTTCTAGTCCTGAGAGGAAGAAAAGAGTTTGAATGGGCAGATCAAAGATCATTAAACATCTATATTTGCTTAGATACTATGTAGTCATTGATGCTCAAACCCAAAACCTATATGAATAACAATCATTCCTCTAACTACTAAGGTAACTTGATCTGTACAAATCAATCTTAAATCTTAAAATCAATAAGAAGTAAAATAATTCAAACTATATACATTTTAGGATACAATGTTAACATCCTCATAATACCACCATTCCCCTCAATTTGTATTATACCAAATATTTTAAAGACATCATGATACTACATATTCATCCAATAACATACTAACATAACAAATTCAAATAAATTGTTTAAATTATGATTGATCCGTTGCCCAAGAAATGCCGCGATGCATGCGACAATTTCAGATATCTTTCCTGTTTAAGTCAAAAATAGTTTCCATAAACTACTAATCCCGCTCACCAACTCTTCCATTAGTCCAATTGTTATTAGATTCAACTCTAAACGACACTTCCTCGAAAGGGAAAGCAATAACAGGTAAAAAAGTTAACCTTTTTTTAATAAGAATCACATGATTTCGTGGTAAGCTGACAACTCCAAGTAAGTAAACTATATTATATAAAATCTGCTGATGCTTTTCAATTCTTTTTTTAAAGTAGTTAATATACTATTTAAGGTAATAATCTACATTGATAATCGTAATATATTATTTTATTCAATATTCTGACTTTCTTACTTCATGAATATATTACTCAAAAGGCTTAAACAAAAAAAATCTCTAATATATATATATATATATATATATATACGTAATATAATTTTAAATATTTAAATTATTTATGTTAAAATAGATATATAAATTAATATATGTAATTATTTTAAGTATTTACATTATTTTATATAAAGCAAATATTTAAATTTTATTTTTTTATTTTAAATATCATAATAATCTTAATTAAAATCTTAGGCACTGTTTGGTTCAGGTCATATTTAATTCCTGTTGGTAATCTTTTTTTCCGGGTAAACATACCCATGTTTGGATGGACTACATTCCCAAGTGCTGGGAAATAATAATTATTACCAATAGTGATTTTTTTTCTTACTTTCCCCGGAATGTTATACCCCATCTCTCTTAGGTATTTGCTTATTCCCGGTTCTCTCGTCTAAAGTACCCTTCTCCTTCTTGGTTATGATCGAGCGTAGTTTGGAGGAAACACTCTGTCCCTTCTTCTCATATTGTTTTCCTCTGTTTTCTCCAAGAGAAAAATGGTAATGGTTCTCTCTTATTTTTTTAAGCTCATTTAGTTTTATCTATGCATTATACCTTACAATTGGCTGATATTTTTTGCATACTGGAGAACCTATGAACCCTAAAGCATACCCACTAGCAGATGCTCAGTTGACAACGACGATTTTAGATCTTGTACAACAAGCTGCAAACTACAAGCAGCTCAAAAAGGGAGTTAATGAAGGTTAGTAAACAATACCCATTTCCATTTTTTCGTTTATTGTAATTATTGTTATCGTTTCCGATATGGGTTTTCTTTCTCCTGATCTTCTTCTTAATTTCTTTTTCTTCTTTAATTGGATTTGTTTGGGATTCAGCTACCAAGACCCTGAACAGAGGTATCTCAGAGTTCGTTGTGATGGCTGCGGATACTGAGCCCCTTGAGATTCTGCTCCACCTTCCTTTGCTTACTGAAGATAAGGTAATTGTTCTATAGAATATGCATATTTTTCTTTTTGTTTTTTCTGGTATAGACTTTTTGATTGCTTAATTCTTGTTTAATATGTGAGTTTACACTAGGAAAAGTTATTGCTAAGTGGTATTTTAGTTATTTTAAAATTTATGTGGATGCAAAGTTAGTTAGGTTGAAATTGCTTGATTGAATGGGAAAAATATAAGTTTATGCTTTGTCTGCACTATTTGAATTGTGTACCTCACATAAAAATATGGGAAAACTACCATATCAAGCTGCAAACTTGCTTCTAGTTGCCAAACTCAACTGTAATTTACAAGTTGGGTGACTATATGAAGACATATGATCTTAAGCAGTTTTGGAGTTTCTCTCTTTTGTTTAGTACTTATGAGTGGTATATGTATTTGTTGTTGATGTGCTTATGGTTGTTGTATGTGTTATTCTGTGCCCCAACTTTAACGTTTTAATTAGTCGTATCACTGCTGTAATATTTAGCTTTGGGTTTAGGGTTTGACTAATTGTCTTCTGGGGTGTCTAATTTTATTGCTTCAAATCAATGGTGTACTCACTAGCTATGAATTTGAAGTATCTTTGACTTAAGGTTATACACTTTGTTTAATGCAAATTGTTTCCCACTCTTGAGCTTGGAAGCATTCATATAACACATCATCTTGACTTCTCAATTTAAAGTAGTTCATCATAGAAGCAAAATCTTAGCTACAACACCTTGATTCATTACCTAGATTTTGAGCACAATAGTTTACTTTGTATTTGATTTTTTGCATAATGTCCCCTATGTATTTGTTCCTTTAAAGCAAGCACTTGGACGAGCATGTGGGGTCACAAGACCTGTAATTTCCTATTATGTCACAACAAACGAAGGAAACCAATTGAAATCCTAAATACAACAACTCAAGGTACTTTTGTTACCTTGTAAAATTAATGATATTTTGCACCCTTTTTGGCTGAATCTGCTTCTACATCTGTATCTTCTGTTTTTCCATTTGTGAAATGTAGGATGCTATTGAGAAGCTCTTGATCTAGAATCTTATGAAAACTCATTTTCGGTGTGACGGGCCTCTCAGATTGTGGTGGTCGGTCCTTTAGAGGCTTTGACTGATGAAGTTGTGCCACAATTGAACAACTCTTTTATAATTTGACCAATGCAATTGTTATGTCGTTTATGTTTTCCTATGAATTGAGAAAACAAAGGATAATCTTGAATCGATATTTACGGCAGCTTAGTATGATTGATGTTATTACTTAAATATAGCATGTTCAATATGCATTTGAATTTCTGTTATAGCTTATATACACACACAAGCAATTGCATTACAATGGGATTGAAATGGATTATTGTGGAAATTATTATAGTTTGTTATTTGACGACAAATATTTTTTTCCTTTGTAGGGCACAACTCACAAAAGCATCCAGACTTCGAATGTTCTCTTTGAGGTTTTAAAGGTTGTCAATTTGACACAATCTATTGAGGTTTTATAGGTGATGTTTGTAAATCGAAAGAATCCAACAATGAAAAATTAATCATTGATATGAAAAATTAGAAGCACTGAATTTATGATATTTGTTTTTGTAAGCTATTGAAAATTGAATGTTCAAGTAGATTTTGTATTTGATCTCTTATAAGTGATATATTTATAGATATATTTTCTTTGATTAAAAGTTCAAAGGGAAAAAATTACGATTAAAAGGAACATTTAAGATTAATGTAGTTGACTGTAAAAAATTTCCTCGAGTGAAATTAACTTAATACATCATGTACACTATAATTTTTCTTCACTTTTCATATTAAATCATTCCTCAAGTCATATTAAATCACTTTTCATACTAGAATGTAAACCTAGTCGATTGAAAAATACAAGAAACCTCCCAGTGAATGCGTCACGTATAAACCGAAGCTAGTTTCCACAGTGTAAACATTTAGTTAAATGTTGATGTAAAATTTTAATATATTTTTACATAAATTATATAAAATTTAATATTAATTAAAATAAAAATAATACATGATATATTTAAATACTCAAGTAATATATTATCAACAGATAAATTTTTTATATAAATAATTTTTATTTAAATATTCACAATTTCACTTGTTAAAAAATATAGACTAAGGACAATTTGGTAAAATATACATTCTAGTAATCTTCTATTCCTTCAACCAAACACTGTAATCTTACATTCCTGCCAAACCAACCAAACACAATAATATAACATTCCCAGTAATCCTATTCCCTGCACTACAACAAAACTGATATGTAGCGGCGTTTGGAGAGAAAACGCCATAAAAGTTAAACATATAGCATCGTTTACAATCGTAGTGCCATATATTGATACTTTAGCGGCGTTTGTTGTAAAAACGCTGCAATAGATTTGACATATAGCGTCGTTTTTACAAAAAAATGTTGCAATAGGGTGGTTTATTGCGACGTTTTTTAACAAACGCCGCAATAGAGTGGTAAATTAACAGCGTTTATACCACAAACGCCGCAATAGATTAACATATAGTGGCGTTTTAGCCAAAACGCCACAATAGATCGGTAAATTAGTGGCGTTTATACAACAAACGCCGTAATAGATTACACATATAGTGGCATTTATTCTTAAAACATCGCAATAGTGATAATAAATAGTGGCGTTTTTAGATAAACGCCGTAATAGTGTTAATCAATAGTGGCGTTTTTAGAAAAACGCCACAATAGTTTTAATCAATAGTGGTGTTTTTTAACAAACGCCACAATAGTGTAATCAATAGTGGTGTTTTTTTTGTATAAACGCCGCAAAATGTTAAATATATAGTCCCCTTTTTCTCCTACTCGAACCCTAAAATCAATTAAACTCTTTTTCTCTCAAAGCTTCTTCTCTGGAACAACAATAGCTCTCAAACGATTCTTACCGACGTCGTCGTTTGTATGTCCCAGTGACCAAATCGGGCCTCTCACCGACGAACTATAACACAACTGCACGGTTTGATCCCTCTTATCATTAATGATCTTTTTCATTTTTTTGGTCTTCTGAAAATGGGGAAAACCCAAAAAGCTAACGTATTTGAGAAAAAGAGAGCATGTGTTGCCTTGAGTAAGAGAAATTATCTTCGACGGAATGTCTAAGTGGCGTATTTACTCTGATAATGGATCAAATTATCGTTGGGAGGATATCGGTCCGGTCTAGCCGTCGAAACTGGATAATGACCCGAAATGAACTCCTATTGCTCCATACCCTTCCATGGTCGATCTCATTCTTGAAGGTAATAATCTATGAATCTTTCAGCCGCTATAATTTGATTTTCTACGCTCAGTCAAATTTTATAGATTGTATGCATATAAGATCTTCGAAGCTTATTGAGAACGATGATAGAGGAGTGGATAAATACCCGATGTTTAGAACTGAATTTGGTAACTCTGTGGCGTTGAAAGAATCTTCAATTGCAAAAGCAATATCTATCCTCAATGAAGATGAAGTTGCCTCTACTATTACTCCAAGTAAAAATTTATATCATCTATTTAAATTTATTTTAATTTTTATTTAGTTCGCAAGCCACCTACAATCAAGTTTTATATTGTAGGTGAAATGTCGTTATTTGTTTCAAGTGAAGCACTGAAGCACGCAAGGACTCTTCTTGGTGAATCGGAGGTAAGAGATTTATTTGGTGAAATGGATGAAGAGTTTCTCCATATAGAGTTTACACGGAGAAAAAACTTAACGATACGTCGTCAAACAAGGAAAACAACTTTCCTACGTTTTTTCCCCACGAATGAGCACAACTAAATTCTACTGAACAATATGGTAAAGACTGTTTATGCATAACTTTAATGTTTCTAAATTGTAATGTATTTTGTTGCTAAGTATTTTTATGCATAACTTATGTCTTAATTAAAATGTATGGTTGTTGTTAATATGTAAAATCAACTAATGTTTCTCCATATACTGTTTATACATATATCAGTCAATTTAGTTGATGTACATTAGAAATGAAATATATAAAATCAACTAATATTATCTAAATAAAAGGTAATTTGCGGCATTTGTATCCAGAAACGCCGCTATAGATCTGACATTTTGTGGTGTTTGTATCCAAAAACGCCGCTAAAGAGTAATACTTTAGTGGCGTTTTTGAAACAAACACTGTAAAATGGTTGTATATTGTCATTTATATCGGCGTTTTTCCAATAAACGCCGCTATAGGTACGTACTTTAGTGCATTTTTATACAAACGCTGCTATAGAATCGTACATTAGTGGCGTTTTTATACAAACGTTTAGTGGCGTTTCTATACAAATGCCGCTATATACTCATACTTTAGTGGCATTTTGAATCTAAAAGCCACTATAAACTCGTACTTTAGCAGCATTTTTATATAAACGCCGCAATAGACTAGTACTTTAGTGGCGTTTTTATACAAACGTCGCTATAGACTCGTACTTTAGTGGCGTTTTTAGATAAACGCCGCAATAGATATAATATTTTGCGGCGTTTTTAAATAAATGCCGCAATTGTATTCTTCTTTAGTGGCTTTTTGTAATAAACGCCGCAATTGTTTTCTCCGTTAGTGGTATTTTCGTAATAAACGCCGTAATAATTTATCCTATTGTGGCGTTTTTAATATAAACGCCGCCATTTTTTTTTTCTTTTATCAGATATCCCCTATTCGAAATCCTGATCCCTTATTTGTTTTTCCTCTAAAACTTCCCTAATCTAGCTTTGTGTATTTGGGTTTAGGGTTCAACACAAACCATCGTCTCGCCGTGGATCATCAATCACATTATTTACTTTCTCCAACATTATCTCTGCTACTCCCATTTTTTATTCAATTTTAGGGTTAACAATATTCTATCAGTATTATACCAAACCTCAAGAAACATGCCAAGGAAGCTTCAAAGGGAATTGAAAAAAATAGGTACGGGAACACTCATCCATTCAATCCGATTCATTTGATTGAACTCGAAATTAAATTGTATAGGAATTGAAAAAGTTTTTTCAAAACAGGGTGAGACATACTTTTTGAAAGATGGAAACTGCATAGCATGTATATGTATATGACATTCAAGCTTACCTGCAATTAGGATGAGATGTAGTGATTGAACTCTTACTTTAAATTACACAATTGTGTTTGTTGACACAGCTAATATGTTTATCTATGGTGGTTTCTCTAAAAATAAATATACATCCAGCACCCCATTGGAAATACAGTCTATGCATCTCATAGGAATGTTATAAAAATACAAGCACACTTAAAGAGACAATGCTCACTTATTTGAAATATCATTTAGTTCTTCAATTGAAAACCCAGATAATAATATTTCTACCAAGAAAAATGATAAATGGGGTCGTTCCAAGTTTAACTTTGAGATCTTGAAATGCCAAATGCTTTGGGTTCTAACTCGATGTACCTTCATGACAGACAACTAATGTGCTGACTTCCGTCTTATCTGATCGAATGGCACGTAAATACAGCACTTGGATACATCATCTTATGACAAATAAGCTCATTTTCTCCCATGTTTTTCTTGTTCTTCGTCTTTTTTGAAAGCACGTTCAATAGATATCGGATTACATTCTTGTTCTTATAAGGAGCTATTTTGTTTCCTTTAGGTGTAAAGATTTGCATATTTTTTGGCGCGCTTCCTTTACTCTATGAAGTGAAGTTCTATGCTTGTGAGGTAATAATTTAGTATGAATTGTAACTTATTTGGATAAGTTTATGTTTCAGGTTGGGCCTTGTTGCAACGATCAAGGTATGCTACCTACTTTTGCGGTGTTTCAATTTTATGGTGTTTCAATTTATTTGTTTGGCCTATTGACATGCACATATGCATATAGACATGTCTACTTCCTCATTTTAGTATTCCAAGTGTGTGTGTTATTGATGCTAGTTGGTGTTGACGCCATAGACTAAATAAAGTTGAATAGACTATGTCATGTCAGCTTCAATTCTAAACTAAAGGATAATGTGAACTTTGTTATAATGAGCCAACTGAAAGAAGATATGAAACTCAAATCTAGTGCATGAATTGAAAACCTCAAATGCATACAAGAATTACCTTAATGCTGCTGTTCCCTTTCCCCAGTCTGTACATGAATTGAAATAGCTAGGGATAGAGCTAGGGTGTTGGGTGCGGTGTATGTTTGAAAAATATATTTTCTATTGATTATTTAATTTTACATTCCTAAA